AACTACTTCCTTTGAAATTTAATGTCTGTTGACCACAGTTTTATACTATTGGCGGCCCTATTTTCTCGCATCAAGACTAGTTCTTCTCATATTAGCAAAAATATTAAACCCAAAATACTTGAAGAACTTTATGTACTTATTATAATGTTTTTTTTATTTTCATACATACACTCATGTACATAAATATATTAATGTCAAGCCCGAGCTCAGGACCTCATCTAACCCTAGTGGGCAGCTTTACTGGGACAAGTGATGTTTTATCACACTCAGGTACTGTTTGGGTGACACCCCAAACCATGATTTGGGGACCCAAACCATGGTTTGGGTGATAAGTCACCCAAACACCCACCCAATTTGCACAAACCATGGTTTTGGGCCAAAACCATGGTTTTGGAAAAAGTAAAATTTTTTTGCTTTTGGAGAAAAAAGGGAGAGTGTAAGAGCCTATAGGATATGTATTTTGTTATTTTTTTTATAAACATATTTTTTTATAAACATATTTAATCTTATATTTTATAAATATATATACATATTAATTAATTATTAATTATATTATCTTATGTATTATTAATTATGTTAATAAAAAATATATTATTAATAATTTTATTCCTTCAAATTAAAATATATCATAAAATCTATTTTTTCTGTAATTATCATATTAACTTATGTCTTTTTTTTAGTAATTTGTATATATAAAAAGTGCTTCTGATAACAACTATCCAAACACTCTCACTTCTCAAAATCACTTTTTTATAACATTAATCATCATTATGTATATATATAAATTAACTGCATTGACTGCTTGTATTTTAAAATATTACTATTATAATGTAAATCATATAAATCTAGACCTTGAAAGATAAATACTTTTTTGAAAAAATGTAAAAAAAAAAATACTTGTTGAATTTTAAATAGATAAATAGATCATGTTAAAATTCAATAAGTATTTTTTGTTGTTGTTGTTCTTCTTCTTTTTTTAATTTAATTTCTTTGTTAAAATATATTCTTACCTGAAGCAAAGTGATTTCTTCCACATACCGATATCGTGTCAACAAAAAGATCAATCGCCTCATTGGCTGAGGCTTATCTGATAGAATGGAACCACGTATTTTTTACAAAGAGCAAAAAGAATTCTGAGTTATAATTTATATACTACTTTTTTCATTTCTAAATATAGAAATTATATAACTAGTTTATAGATATTAATAAAATTAGTTAAGTAAATTATTTGTAATTAATAATATCTATCTATCTAAAATAATCCTTCAACCATTTGCATTAGAAATTACCCATTAACAAAAGTCTTCTTTTAATATGATCCCATCAACAAAAGCTTTTATATTTAAGACCCCAAGAAATACAATTAAAAAAGAATAGTTATCTTAACCCAATGGATCTAGATTCGATGACATCCACAAAAATGGTTAGCTTCAGTAAAATGACTCGATTATCTAAAACCAAGGTCTCAAATTTTTCACTAAAAGAAGAAGAAGAGTATTTTGTCAACGAAAAAATTTATGATGAAAAGCACACGAATCTAAAATAATTGATAGCATCTTCTATCAAATACTCCCTCCGTTCCTTATTATAAGGGACAAATAACCGAAGTACGTTGATCAAAAAAACAGTTAAAATTAGTTAAGAACAATTAATGTGTAAAAAGTATAATTTTTTTCCAAAAATACCCTCATTAATAAGGAGAGAGAGCATGAGAGAGAACAATTAAATTATTAAAGAAAGAGAAGTGGGAGGGAGAGAGAGTGTGAGTTGGAGATAATAAATATGGGTAAAATAGTAAATCAACACAAAAAAGTAGAGACAACTTGTAAGTGTCTCTTATATATAGGAACATGCCATAAGCATCAAATGTCTCTTATAATAAGGAACGGAGGGAATAGTTATTAAAAAGATACCTACAAGTAACTAGGTTGAATTAATAAGATCTCATGTATTCAACAGCTGGATTATAGATAATTTGATGATTAGTGATTGTAATTGCGTAAAAAGAGCAATTTTCAAGTCTTAATTTCTGTAGCTAGTGAAGGAAATAAAAAATATCTATAAACAAAAGACAAAGTGGGATTTGAGATGAGCACAAGTATATGTAGAAATATACTATTATATATAACAAAAGATACTGTAGATTCATTAAAGGATTGGAATGAATGAAGAAGAAAGCAATTCTAAGAGGAAGGCGAAGCTTAAAGTCCATTACTTGTATCAGCAAGCTTACATGGGAACCTGAAGAAAACCTCAGTATAGGACAGATAATCAAGACATGCGGTATATCCCCTTCAAATTATATTACTAAAACAACGTTGATGGTTAAAACGTCTTCGTTATGGTCTTGGTCAAATTTAGATTTTTACAACTGGCACCATCCCACTTTAAAGTTCATAAGTGATAAAATGTTGATGTGATCTCTAACAATTAACAACTTCACCGCAATATTTCATATTTATTACTCCTTCGGTTCTTTATATAAGACTCAATTTTTGAGTTGGTTTTGGTCTTAAATATAAGATTCATTTTTCATATTTATCAATTTTCTCTAAATTATCCCTATGGATACTCCCTCAACCATAATCAAGTAAAAGAGGGAGAGGAGGTATTAAGAAAGATGATTATGGTGTTTTAGAAAAAATATGTCACTTTTCTTATAATTAGCTAACTTACCTAACTTCCTTAGTCTAATCAAATTAGTTAAATAGGTCTTATATTAAGGATCAGAGGAGTACTTTCTAAATATATGAGCTAGTCACGAGGTTAGTTTTCATTTTAAACATAAAATCTTAATTCATTTTATTTTTTATATTAATCATTTTTTAAAGATATATAATTTAATATTATATAAGTATTTTAGAAAGACTATATCATATTTGTTAAAATTAAGCAATTTATTAGATTCCTTAATATACTTAAATTAGTTAGGAAGATCTTATATTAACCTATCATGGCAGAAAGCAAAAGTGCCGTCATTATACAACAATACAATTATAATAGGGATAATTAATCTCCAGCCCTTATAATTTCATCTGATTTCTAATCAGGTTTTTATAAATTTTTTTTCCAGATCTTTTTACTTTTACATGCTTTTAATTATGCCCCTTTATTATTATTTTTTCTTTTTATCAGGTTCTTATAGTTTTACTTATTTTTTAATTAGATCCTTTATAGTTTTTAAAAAAGTATTTATTAACTTTATTCTTTAAAATTAATTTCATATTTAAATTAATAATTATATAATTGGAAAAAATAATTAATATAATCATTTAGTAATTAATAATTAATCAGAATAATCAATTATACTTAACTATAAATTATTTATAATTATATTCTAATTTTAGAAAATTTTATTATTATAATTTGAATTTTATAATTATAATAATTAGAATTGAAAAATAAATAATATATATGTTTAACTAAAAATTTAAAAGAATATTAACATAAGATTATTATAATAATTTATTATTTATAGAATAAAGAATAAAAACTATAAGGAACTAATTAAAAATAAGGTAAAATAATAAGGACCTGATAAAAAAAATTAAAAGGACCTAATTAAAAATATGTGAAATTATAAGAACATGATAGAAAGAAAAAAAATTATAGAGACTTGATTAAAAACTAGTTGAAACTATAAGGACTTGTGCATTAATTATCTCATTATAATATAACTATATTTTATTACAATTTTAATTTTTTTAAATTTGGTGATTATTTACTTCTTTAACTTTAAATTTTTAATTAGTATGAGTTCAATTTCGTAGGATGCATAAAATTTGAGAAATGAGTTGCATTGATGGACCTATGTACTGTTGTTAACATTATTGGTAATATAAATAATATATGGTCAAAAATATATTTATTCTTTTCAAATGAGATTTTAGCCTTTACTCTTTTAAAACTAGAAAGAATAATACCTATTGCTTCAGTTTCAATATATATTTTACTGGTATAAAAATAACAATTTTGGTATTATTATAATTTTAGAATTTTCATAAGGTGGCTTTTAAGCCGTAAATTCTCTTTAATACTGGCGAGACTTGGAACCTAACCCATTAGGTTTTTAATTTTCAAGAAATATTTCTATAAAATTTGAATTATATTTCTCTGATTTTTAATTTTTGAAATTTCAGTATCATATCATTTTTATATTCTTTTGAAATATACGGGAAACTCAGCCAAAATATGACACCCGAACGGCATCTTATTGAACAAAAATGGTGATATTAGCCCATTTTTTATGGTTCCATACAATTTATGACCTAAAATAATATAATAAGGAGAATTACAATAAGTCCCATAAAAAAAAGTTACAAAACAAGTCTCAGAGGTTGTTATTCTTTATTATATACTACTTATTGGAACCTTTTAGTAATTATGTATCGTCTATAGGACCTATTGCAATTCTTCCAATATAACTTGTCAAAATTTTTATGGTATGTATGGATATACTAATCCTAAGTGTGTAATAGTTGAATTTTAATGCAAAACATATTGGATTTTACCCAATTTTTTTCCTTATAATTAATTCATCCTTCCAATCAAAACTATAATTAACATAATTAAGTTGCATAAAATAATGTTGAAACGAAACTGATATACCCCAAAACAAACTAGCTGGAAAGTTTCAAAACATACGACACATATTTTAGAGCCGCCGAAATACACGAATTTTTCGTTCTTTCTTGTCGTTTTAATTAATGAAAAGAAAAATCTTGATAGGGTTTTCAATATGACGGCATTTGGGGACTCCGAGCTTGATCCTTGATCGATATTTATATAATAAAGTGATTTCTTTGCCGCTCTATACATCCTAGTGTTATAAAAAATTTCATATTGAAGGAAAACCACAATTGCTTAGACCTGGTCCACAGGGTTGAAGTCAACAGGGTCTCATTGAATTAAGCCTCTAAACTCCATTTGATGCGGACAAATATCATAACCACTTATGGAAAAGTTCTATATAAAGTTAAAAAGCCCCAAGAAGGCCCCAAGACAGAGCTGTTCTATCCATCCATAAGTTGCGATTTCTCATCTTCGACTCGGATTCTTTGCATTTACTGCACACTGTCTGTTTGATGAAATTACTCAGAGAAGCATAATCAAGTTCTTGAGAGGCAGTTTCCATGGAGGACATGTTTAGCAGTTTGCCTGATGAGATTCTTGGCCACGTGGTTTCTTTTCTGCCAAATGAATCTGCTCTTTATACCAGCCTACTTTCTACCAGGTGGAGGGACTTGTGGAACGAGACTTTGGTTAGATATGGAACTGCTGAGGATATGGCAGATTCTGTTGTTGATTTCCTTGCTCGTTTTGAAGAGCTTCATCCATTAAAGCATCCTAGGAGGCTTCAATTTCACTATGTTGAAACTGAAGACTCTGTACTCTTAGCATCTATTGCTACTAACAACAAGCTTCTTTTGGATTTCTCCGGAAGGAAGAAAAGAGAAGAACCCGAAGGGCCTTATGAGATGCGCTTGAAGCTCAATATTCAGAATCCTCAGTCATTTCCTCCTCCTACTTTCTCAATCAAGACTCTCTATTTGAAATCTGTTTGCTGTTTGACAAGTGAGGTAGTTTCCTCCGTTGTATCAAGCTTGCAGCATCTTGAGAACTTGATAATCACTGGCTGTGACGGATTGGAGTCTCTCTGCATAGTCGACGGCGAAACAAAACTTGTCAAGTTAACCATTCTAGATTGCTTGCAGTTGAAGTCCCTCCAACTCAGAACTTGCAGACTCAAATATTTTAGGTATAGAGGTTTGCTGCCACGAATTTTGCCTGAAAATTTCTTCAATCTTGCCGATGCCATGCTTGATTTCAGACTAGGCCATATCTGCTACAACTTCAAGACTGAACATTTTGATACCACCTTGTTAACCATAAAGAACTCTGAAGTTCTTACTCTGTGTGAATGGAATTATCGGGTATGCTCTTTCTCCCCCGTTTCTGTAATGGTTTTCTTCTTGTATTGTGCTCTTACTACTTTTGGCCACATGAAAATTTGTCATATGACTAACCAACTATATTTTACTCAAAAGTATAGCTAATGTTAGGTTTTGCTTGCTATTAAGCTTGGCATGGAAGAGCATATTGAGCTGTAAAAGATATTCACTTGTCATGCTTTTATTAGAGAACTTCATATGAAACACGTAAACAAGTGCATCAGGATTTGTTTTTCCCTGCTGATAACTGAAAGATGAGTACTTCCAAGAAGTGCTGTTGTTCACACAGTCTAATCCCAAATGGCTATTATTGCAGGCATTAATTTGGCCATCAATTTCACCCCAAATTGAAAGCTTTATTTTCTACAAGCTGAAAGAGTTATGGTGGATTGTTAAAGATGGACAAAGCAGTGATGCCTTAGTGTCCTTCTTGAAGCTCTGCCCTGCTTTGCAGAAACTTTATGTGACAGTGAGCTTCCTTCTTAATATTAATCTAACCTCTGTCAACTTTGCATTATTTATTTTCCAATCTTTCTGATGATTTTTTTCCCCTTATTTGCAGGTTGATCCCGAAAGTTATTTCACATCAAACCCTGCGGCTTCAGGCTTGAAGGAAGCAACCAAATACAAGAAACTGGAGCATCTGAGACTCGTTAAGCTTATGGGTTTTACAAGGAAGGAAGATGAAATCTCACTGGCAAAAGATTTGATTCAGCTAGTGAAGGCAAAACCTCCAAGGATAGATGCATCAGATGGAAGTTGCTTGCAGGTTTTGGGAAACACTTTAAGTGAACATAAAGAAAGATGTGAGCTTGTGAGACTGGAAAAGGAAATTAATGTGTGCGCCAAGCATCCTCACATGGGCTTATAGACCGATAGTTTTGTGGGTATTGTAGTTTTTTCAGGTAGATTATCTATGGAATATTTGAGCATAAGATACTTTGAAGTATCAAGTTTTGGAGCTGTGTATGTCTTAAAATTATATATAAATGTATTTAGCTATTTATAATATATATTATATGTTGCTTATATAAATGAGTTTTCTAATTTTTGAAGAATTAGAATATCTTTGTGCAAATGTTCCTGGATTTTGCTTTCCTTTGTTTGAATCATATGTAGCTCATAATTCATTAAGTTGTAAACTTACAAGAAACAATCATTTCCACTTATGTGTTTTTTTTTATATTTTAATTCATAAAAATGGAATGACCGCCAATTCACCTATTTTACATTTATTGAACACACACACCACGGCTTTAAAGAGCAAGAGAAGACAAATTATAGTAGTATATAGTGGATATGAATCATCATCCTTACATATTTACATTCTTTTATATTTTTATTAAATAATTATTTGATGCTTGCTCATTATTATTGGGTCAAATTTAAATATTATATAACTATATTTTTCTCACGTAACACAATTTTTTTATGAAATTTAAAAACGCTTAACCTTGTTTTAGAAAAACCATGCTTGACTATTCCATTCGTCTTAACAATCATTAGTTGTTATGTTACTACTTCAGGTTCTTATTGTAAGAGTTAAATAACTAATTTTTAAATATTAAAAAATTAGTTCAGTTAGTTATATTTGTAATAAATGTGTTTTGATTTTCTTAAATTACCATATTCAATCATGTGTATTAAAATTATCTTTTAAATAAATCTATTTAATTTTTTACCTAATTAACTTCCCTTTCAAATCTCTTTGCTTTTAAATTATCCAATATTATATTGGATATTACTTTTGCATTGCTGCGCCGGAGAAGTTGGTTTCATCTCATGAGGTTTTATGAAAAATTTGAACTTGAAAGAATCTATATTATCCCCGGTATAATTTTCATACAAATGTTATGTCTAGTGGGGATTGGGGAAGCAAAGATAGGAGCTTGAAGGAAATAGAAGGTTCCATTTGAAAAAGAGGAAGTAGTTGGAATTTTGGGATCATCTACCTTTGAGGCCAAATTGTGAGCATTTACTGTAACTTGTGAAATTGTCAATAATTAACTCTTAAAATCATCCACGCACGCCATTCCATTTTGACTTTGTCAGCCACCCCAAAACAAGTCAAAATTTCATTAATATGTTTATGTCAATCCTTCTTCTTTTATGTATTTTTCTGTTCATGTTTTCTAAATTTTATTTTATTTTTTCTAAATTTAAAATTAACTTGGCCTTCATTTTCAAGCCAGGACAGATATTCAAAATGCTCACCTTTATTTTTATTTCTCAAATTCTTGGGTCTCATGCTTATCAACAACGTTGGAAATTGACTAGAAGTTTCTTTTGAAATAAAATAATTCGATTATATCGGAATGATCCATCCATCCCACAAGAAACTTTTATTTATTTATTTTTTAAATTGACGATAACATTTGACCATATACATGATTACATGACCTCATTCTGTTGAAGTTGAAAGATCTATTACTCATGCTTGGTGTGGAAAGTAATGATTATTAATCTTTTAAAAATTAGAAAAAAAAATTCATGATGCAATGGTTAAGTCGTGGCTCACGATTGTGTGGGTTAAATTTTCTTCAATATATACGTAATATCTTAGATGGGATATTAAGATGGATATATAGTCCTATAATTAAAAAAAAATTGTAATAAATGTTCACTTCTTTTAAAAAGAAAGTACAATAGTTATAGGATAAGTTTATTATATTGTTATGGGAAAATCATATTGAAGGTATCTATACTTTCTCTCAATTTTTAATTTGGTACCTATGTGTTTTTTTCTCTTTAATTAAACATTTAATTTTATCTTTTTAGCAACATTAGCTCTTATAACTTTGTTCTATTGATATTTTTAGTCTCTACATAAGGATTAATGATGTTAATAGAGGAAAAATAAAGATTTAGTTAAGAACAAAAAACACGTAGGTACCAAATTGAAAATTGAAAAAAAATATAGATACCTCCAATATGGTTTTTCCTATTGTTATCTCAAGTTCTTCAAATCACGTATACTTACCTGTGATTCAGAATTTGACATAATAAATATAAAAAATTTAATTTAATTTTTTTAAAAAAATAAAAATAATCATTGCGTGTATAAAGAAGGCTACTAAAGATATGTGGTGAGGAGGGTAAATTACACCAGATACAATATTTTTAATACTTAATAAATTTATTGAACAGAACTTTTGAGTAATAATTTATCCAAACATTTGACTGTGAATAAAGTATGAAGATGGCATGCTATATATATAAAATATTTCAAAATACTCTTTTGATCCTAAATATTATACTTATTTTGTAATGTAATTTATACTATAAAATATGTCTTATATTTAGAGTCGGAAGGGTATTAATGTCTCCTATTACCTTTTCTTTTTCTTTTTTAACGTACAAATAGTATTCCACAATTATGATGGACATGGGTGCTCCAAATTAGTTTTAAACAATTAAGAATTAAATCAGCTTAATTGTAACGAATCTTATAACCATCACACCTTTTAAAAAACAGCCTAAATCCTAATTTAAAAGCTCACATGCATATTAAAAAAAATTAAATATAGATTTCCAAACTAAATTGGTCATGGTCCAGACCCTAAAATGATCACTGTGGCTAGCGAGAATGAAGGGCCAACTAAAATATAAAATATTATTATTAAGACCATAAAGCCACCTGGTCTGGTTGGTTTCCCTTGTCCTTCTTCTGGAGCTTGTACACTGGGGAACCCTCTAAATGCGAATTTATCACTCCATCCCCTATCCAAATCCAGATTAAAAGCTCTCCCTATTTCCATGTGCATCTTAAAACTTCAGCCCGTTTGGTTCAATTCTTGTATACTTAGAGACGATATTGCAATGCAGTGCAATATATATATATATATATATATATATATATCAATATGTTTGGCATGTTATTAAGAAAGTTAAGCAAAAAAATTATTTTTTTATTTAATCAAAATGAAAAGCTTATAATACCCCTCAATAAATAAAAAAAAGAAAAAGAAATAAATCAGTCATTGCTAGATTTATTGTCTCTCTGGGAGAAGTGATAGTAACAGCAGAGAGAGGTGACAGCGGCAGTGGTGGTGGTTGTAGTGAAAATGGTGGTGGTTACTAAGGGCCGTGATGGCGGTGATTTTGACAGCAACCATAATGGGGGAGGTGATGGTAACTGTGGTTTTTGATGGTTATGTTAGTGGCCGCAACAACGGTGGCAATGATGATGATAGTGGTTGTGGTAAATGCTGTAGGGGGGACGGTGGTTGTGGTGATGGCAGTGGCAATTGTGGTGGTGGCAGTGGGAATGGTTATGGGTGGTGGGGGATGGTTGTAGTAGTGGCGGTGACGGTTAAAATAAGACAATAAAAACAAAAACAAGCGAGACTAAACAGCAAAGTAGACTTTTTAAAACATGCAATGGGTGGTAATGAGTATTCATAAGATGGGAAGTATGAATAGGGATTACCAATTTTTTTGGTAATCATCATTAACATGGTAAAACCAATTACTATACTAAATAGCAACCAAACACCCCCTTCTTAGTAATGCAATTATGATTACCATCACAGGTATGTAATGGGATTGAACCAAACATGTTTTACATCTTTTTCTCATCCCCACATAGATGAGTCTGCAAAATGAACATAAATTAAGAAAAAAAAGATAATGTCTATTTTCTTTCCCCCCGCCCAAAAAAATAATTTATAAGTCCTTATAGTTTCTCATATATACTCCTTTGGTTCTAAATATAAGACCCTTATACTAATGTGTATAAGGGTCTTATATTTAGGACCGGAAGAGTATTTATTAGATTATCATAAGGACTTGATTAAAAATTATATAAGACTAAGAATTTAATAAAAATATTCTACAGAGATGTAATTAAAAATGAGACTAAACTATAAATATTTGTTCTCTCTCCCAGTCTTCTCTCAATTTTGTTCTCTCTCTCTTTTTCTAAATTGGGCCAAAAAATGGATATCGGCTTAGGCTGACCCACAACAATTGGGCCGACAAACTAACGCGCGTGAAGATGAAGTGCTCCTTTCTCGTGTTTCAGTGTTTCTTCAAAGCCGCTCCTCCTTGTACCAAAACAAAAAAAAGCCTCTGCTCCTCGCATCTTCCTCCTCCTTCGCCTGCGGGAAATCAAAATCTAAGGACTTTTTTTTTTTTTTTGGCCACCGAAATCTCATCAAGGGTCTGAGGATCTGAGGACTATGGAAGTGAAAAATCTCATCAAGGATAAGAAATTCTGGTTTGCGTCCTTCCTTATCGTCTGGGCTGCTGCTCTCCAGGTTTGAATTGGCTTTGTCTTCTCACTTCTTCGCACTAAAATTGCTCGACCCTTCATCTCTTAATGTGCGTTCTCTTGTTAGGGCCATATGATGTGGATGCAGAAGCAGGACTCCTTCAAGCAGAAATTTGGGAACCTTGATCAAGACAAGGATGCCCAAAACTGATGGGTAAGAGTCACCCTGCGCAAACCAAAACTCGAAAGGATTTAATTTATTAATTTTTTTTGGGAGAAAGTTCTTCTCTGGAAGTGACTCGAACTCCTGCTTTCCGAGTCATAAATTACTTTTAAGTAGTGCAGTTGAAATGCTGGATTATGTGGAGTCTGTACTGTTTATATGATTGACAAGTGTGAAGTACTGAATTTGATCTTTGAAAGATTCGGCTTATTTGTTCGTGTGAAGGACTTCAGGAACGTCTAGGGCACTCCCAATGTCGTTGTTGTACTATCTTTTTCTTATGGGGCTCGGCCAATCTGAAATTTCTTAATGCTGCTTGGCTATTCAATATGGGGAAGAAGGATTAGTACAACTAACGGGGAGTCATAGTTTACCCTTTTTGGGTTATCTGAAAATTATAAATTTGGACGGAATGATCATTGTAAAATCTTCTTGTTAATTTAAATCTAATTCTCCTGGTCTCCTGAAGGTTAATGGTTCTTTAGTTTCATTTCATCATCATATCCACCTTCACAGTTTGAAAATATGAAGTAAACGTCACATTTTGTTCCCTTCTAGACAGGTAAGTCTCCTTCAGCTCTTATTTTTCTCAATCGGAGCTATCATATGAATACTTGAATTGAAAATCTTAAAAGAGGTATTATCTGTTCCATTTCCCATGTGCTCGACGTCACAAAAAACCTGTATGGATGCGCAAAGGAGAATGTCAAATGCCTTATTCTGGAATGGAAGATAAATATGCTGTCTTGTGAGAAGCTTTTAGTTGTACACGATTTTCATTTGTTTCTACAGTACGTACCTAGATATATTCTGTCTTCAACGTGCTTAGCGTACCCATGATATTGTACTTGAGCAAACTTTGATGAGCACTGGGTCCTCTTATGTATAAAAGAACTTAGTTCTGTAGCACCTTCTGTGTCTGTGATAAAAGAGGTTCACTGTAGGGGAGATAGCTCAGTTGGGAATACAATTCTTGCTGGAATGGATCTTAAAGTTGAGGAGCTCTTTTCGAACAGAATCAAAATGTGAAAGTTTCTGAGTCTAGTAGCAGAAGGTATTAGTTTTCCATAACATGGCAAGCAAAAGTTATAGGCTAGGCATATATATCCTTCTCTCTCTCTTTTCAAAATTGGAAAACAATTGTTAAATATTAGAAGTGACTTATACTTTTCTGGTTTTATTTATAAGGCACTTTTATCATATTTCACACAGACTAAAAAAAACTTTAAAATGCATTAACTTTTCATTAAAATATGATAATTTTTTAATTTTACCCATATTTAATATATACACATTTTAAAATAGATAACTATATACACTATAATAAATTAAGAACAAAATAATACTCCTCCGGTTCTTAATATAAGATCCATTTAACTAATTTGATTAGATTAAGGAAGTTAGGTAAGTTAGTTAATTATAAGAAAAATGATACATTTTTCTTAAAACACCATAATCATCTTTTTTAATACTCCATCTCCCTCTTCTACTTGATTATGGTTGATGGAGTATCCATAAGGGTAATTTAGAAAAAATTAATAAATATAATAAATGGGTATTATATTTAAGACCAAAACCAACTCAAGAATTGGGTCATATATTAAGGACCGGAGGAGTATATTTATGCTAAAAATTTAATAAAGTGACTTATAAATAGGACTTAAAAAAATCTTCTCTCTTTGTCTTATAAATAGAACTGGCAGAATATTTAAGGTCAAATTTTTTTTTTCCTTGCGAGAAACCTGCATTTGGGACCAGAGTGGTATGTTTTTCCAAACAGAAATTTCACCCACCGAAGAATTTAACTGCGAAAGGTGATGTGAAATATAGTTGAATTTTGGTTTCATACGAATGAGAATGAGTTCAATGACACCCAAACCACACATTTAAGGCTCCTTAATTTGGAAGCCGTATGTTAGTGGAGGTGGGTCATTTAAAACGTGAGGGGCAATTCGGCAAATGATCCTTTGATTCATGCATCTTAATTCTCAAGTCCCTAGTCAATGCTAAAGCTGGATTGGCACCGCCGTTGTTAACTAATGGCTCGTGGCTCTATTGCTAGTTGCTTGCTTTAAGCTTTCAAATCTTTCTTGACTTTTCCATTCATTTTGGAAGCAAACAAAAAGTTTGATTTTGAAGAGAAACTTATGGATTCCTTGCACAACACTTCTATTATGTTTTTTTATTTTTTAAAAGAAATAGTAGTCTACAGAACAATAAAGTATAGATAAAATTATATATATATTTATATATGAATTTAACAAGATGACTTATATTAAGAACAAAAAATTATTGTCTCTACTCTAAAAATAAGACTAGAGGAGTATATATATTTGGGAGAATAACAAAAAAAAAAAAGAAGAAGCTACAAATTACTAAATTCCAGATCAGATTTAGTAACAATATTTTATTGGAAGAATTACAATCAAGTCCTTCAAAAGAGAAATAATTACTAAAAAGTTCCAATAACAACCTAAGCATCCTGTAATGACAAATCTTATAGTAGAGAATGACAATCTCTGTGACTTGTTTTATAATTTTTTTCCTTATATGGGACTTGGTTGTAATTCTCTCTAATTTATTTAGTGTTGATAACGCTGAATTTGTAAATGACGAGAAATTTTGTTGATATTTCTTATCTGGCGTTTACAAACTTTCAACTTCATTATTTGTCATTTTTTCTACGTATTTTTTAGCTTAGGGTTGATTGGATATATCTGGAATTAGCTTGATAGAATTATTATGAATTTATTATTATCAAGTATGATGATGACGACCACGACGACGCAGCTAAGGCAAAGAGGAGGGGGAGGCGAACGTGGCGTCATCCTAACGTGCTGGGTTACGTGCGTGGTGCCATGGATGCATGTTGCGCGCTCCCATTCACAATGTACATTTGACTTTCCCATTTCTACTTTTCATCTTCTTTCTCCCACTCAGTTGCTACCCGGAGGTTTTTCTCTGACCTCATTATTTGTGCTTTTAAAAAAAAGAAGAGAAAAGAAAAACCACCCCACAGTCAGGCTGATAATACTTGAATGAAACTGAAAATTATGGGGTAGGTAATATATAAATAAAATAAAGAAGGTGTCATTGGCTAATTATAGTGATTATACAATTTCAAAGATTAGGTGGGAAAGAATTGAAGGCATTAGACTTGCTACTGCTGCGAGATTAAAAAAAAAAAAAACTGATGAAGCACCGATTTAGTTTCTACTAACATTTTAACAGGAAGAATTATAATAAAGTCCTAAACAAAAAAATAATTACTGAAAAGTTTTAGTAACAATTTAAGCAGCCTGTAATAAGAAATTTAAAGGTAAAAAATGACAACTTTTAAAATTTATTTTTTTATTATTATTTTTATTTGAGACCTCATTGTAATTCCCTCCATTTTAATTCTGTCAGCAGCGGCTTCTCCTCAACTTCCTTCATATTTATGATTTAGACTTTTTGGTATTTCAAGTTGCTTCCTTTTATTTTGGCCAACCAAGTTGCTTCCTCTCTCTCTCTCTTCTATATATATATAAAGTATAAAGTCCCAAACAAAAAAATAATTACTAAAAAATTTCAATAACAATTTAACCAGTTTGTAATGAGAAATCTAGGAGTAGAAAATGACAACTTTTAAAACTTATTTTATTATTATTTTTCCTATTTAGGACCTCATTGTAATTCTCTCCATTTTAATTCTGTTGGCCTCCTCATCTTCCTTCATATTTATGATTTAGACTTTTTGGTATTTCAGGTTGCTTCCTTTTTATTTTTGGCCAACCAAGGTGCTTCCTCTCTCTCTCTATATATGTATTACTTGCATCTGTCTATTAATTTATAATTATTTCATTTTTTCCGCCCACATTCCACCTTTCACACACACACATATTCTCTCTTGAAAATTACAGCATATTCCTCTTTGGTCACAGAATAAATCCGCATTTTTGTATGAACGTGGCTATACAAATGAGAATTACTTGAGACGACCAAATACATCAACTATACAAAGAATAAGGAATAAATATAGTGGGAAGCTATCCATGGTTTTTATTCAGATGAAAGATGCGTGTTTGGTAGAAGAATAAGGAATAAATAGTTTAAATTTAGTTTTTGAAATTTAATTAAGCACAACTCAGTATTGAGTTAAAAAATCATAAAGATTAAGTTGTACTGAGTTAGAAAATAATAAAAACTAAGTTATACCAAGTAAAAAAAAATATTTTCCTAATTTATATTACATCCGATGTCTAATATAAGATGTAATTGACTATTTAATTTAAAAATATTTAAAAAAATTAATTAAATTATTTATTTATAACAAATATATATTGATTTTTCTAAATTATCATTTTTAATCATGCACACCTGAAATTGCCTATTGGTAGGAATGTCTTATATTGAATAGAGATATTTTTTTAAAAAAAATTATAAATTTAGAAAACAAAATAAATTAAAATTTTATATTTAAAATTAAATTTTATATTTTAACCGACTCTTATACTAACAACATGAGGCAGTATTAAATTTGGGCGATGGTGTATATGTTGTGCAGAGTAAGATGCGGGGTTCGTGTGAAACATGAGTGCGAGGTCAACTTGCTTGCCTGGGTATTATTGGGCAGCCACTAGTCTCCAAAATGCACCGCCAAAGTCATAAGTGTACAACTTAATTATATATTTGACTAGTCCTTAATGTATCATTAAGATATAGTTCTCATATTTATCAATTTTTTTTAAAAAATTATTCTTATTGATACTTTTTTAACAATAATTAAATAGGAGATGGATGTAACGTATTAAAAAAAGATAATTATGATATTTTAAAAAAAGTGTCATATTTTTTATAATTAACTAATTTATCTAATTTTTTTAATTTAATTAAATTAATTAAATAGGTCTTATATTTAGTTACGGAGAATATCAATCAAAGAAGAGTTGCATTCTAATTAATTCAACTAATAAAATATATCAGGTACTATTCCGATCCTAAATATAAGACCAATTCAATTAATAACTTTTCGTAACTAAATGTGAGAGCTACTCTTTTGTAATTATACATTCACACTCACACATAGCATCAAATACATAATTAATTGTCCTCACGTACGCATAAATTAAATAAATTAATACTCCCCCCATAACGTAACGTGCTTGGAATTTTATCAAAGTATCAACGAGACTGAGCCTTTCATAACACAGTTTTTGGGTCTTTTCAATAATTTCCACCGCCTTTAAATAAATAAAGTGTCCATTCATTCATCCTCTTTGACTAAATTATTATTGAACACAGGTATTGTACTTATTAGTATAATCTATATATGAAAAAAAAGAGTAATATTCGTAATAAAACTATGAATAGCAACCCATTTTACATTTAGTAATAAAGCATGGCTCTAATTTAAATTATAGATAACGGCGTTATATTCTCGATTTCTCACTTGCTTTCATGTTGAAACATATCCAAGAGAACCCTTTTTC